TACTCAAAATATATTCAAATATTTGAAAACCTTGAATTTTACCTAATCTGACTCGAAAAACAAAATATACCCAAAACTTTAATTTGAATATCCAAAAAAAAAAAAAATATATATATATATATATTTTAGAACCCGAAACCTAAAACTGTAACTAAAACTTAAAAGAATATACATAATACCAAAAATATATATGAAATATCCAAACATATATAATAAAAAAAAATATTGAGTACTTTTATGTACTCGATCGGGTCTCGGTTATGATCCATACTAGAATCGATTCGTGCGGGTCTTTAAAGATAGCCAGTAAGTACTTTATCAAGGATCCTAACCGAACCTATATTTTCAGGTCGGTTTGGTCGTGTTTTTCGATCCGGATAAAATGTCAAGACCTAGAGAGAGTTACATTAAAAACTTACATATAAAATCTCAAATAAACTAATTTATAAATTACATAATTTTTCAAAAAAAATCTATTTTATATATTAAGATTTGTAGCCTAATAAAGTACATCAATTCTAAAATACTAAATCATATCAAAATTTGTTTATAATCTAACAAAAGCCCGCGCTTTCGAAGCGCGGGTCAAAATCTAGTAAACTATTATAATACATGGTGCTATATACTTTATACTTTATACTTTTTAACATTCATCATACTGGATATACATTGGATTATTATTTATATGATATATACATAACATAATATATTTATTAATATATATTATAAATGATTCTTTTTATGTGAATTTTACTTTAGTTATTACTAATAAATAATAAAAATGGAATTATATAGCTTATAAATTATTTTTTTATTAACTATTTAAAGCTAGATTTATTAATTATTTCAAACACGCATATGTTCCCTCTGTTTCTTAAAAAAGTGTCGTTTTAGAATCTTAATTTTGTTTCCAAAAAGAGAATCGTTTTGTGCTTCAACACAATTTTTTACATAGATGTGCATTTTTAACTTATGGGAGAATTTTCTCAGTAACCAAATTCTCACTAATAATTAAAAAAATAACGTTGATTTTGACGTTATTAATTAAGTAGCATTTATCTCATATTTTATTCGGTTATACCCTTCTCATGAATAAGTATCCGGTGAAAGAAGAAAAAATGGAGACGTGGTCGCTTGAACTTATGGACATGAGTGAAACATTATAATCACCACAATTTAAACCAACCACATCAGACACTTATTTACCTCGTACATATTCGCTACGTATAGTAAATTGAATGATAAAAGATAAAATTTAGAGTGTATTCTATATCTTCGCAGTAGTATAGGACTCTCATCCATGATCTATTCCAATGTAATTCATATCATACTATATGAATAGTATAGTATACATCGAGCTATTATTCTATATGGAAAATACTTGTTAGGTTGCTATTCTACTTGGTACTAACGACTCACTTTGGACTATACTATGTGGTCTCCTTTAAGAAATTTAAAATTTTATTCTACTTAGTGTAAATTATATCCTAGCATGATGTAATAGTTATGTTACATAAAATTTTACAATGTTGGTTTCATATTCTTACATACATAAGATTCTTCAAAGCATGTTTAGATGTTGACCAAATGAACACAAAATATATTGATATACCATTCATTTTGATATTTTTATTAATACATACTATACAATTAGTTTGTTCTATTCCATTTATATTTGTTGTCCATATCTTTTTGTATAACATTCTTGACTTTCTAAGGCCACAATAACTTCTGCTACAAAAGCCACCGTCTTCATTCTATCAACGGCCACTCCTTCATGTGTAACCACCATCTTAATCACCACCGCAATAATGACCATTATCAAGGGCACCAACACCTCTGTTACAAAAAACCACTGCCATATGCCAAAAACAGCACAATGGTAAACATATACCCTAATCAATGACCTATAACCCAATCCAATTAAATAGTAAACTGCAAGACAAACCCATATTTACTACATCTAAACCCTAATCACTGACGTATAAACCCAAATATGATGTTTATACTTTTCTACTAATTCATGTTACTAGATTATACATAGTATATAGCCACTAGAAATAATAGTATATATACGTTTGAGCTAATATAGAACTGACAAGGTAACAAAATTAAAACAATTTGAAAATAGCTTATCCGGGAGAATAGAATAGTCCATGTTAAGGAGAAATAGAATTTTCACTCAAATTAAATATTGTGACGACCCAAAACCTACAAAGCGGGAGATAATCAGACATCTAAACCCTAAGCATTGTCTATAAACTCAAATAGAATGTATATACTATGCTACTAGTCTATTTTACTTTAGAAGCCATAGTATACACCCTCTTTCTAGAATAGTATATGTATTGTGGAAATAGGATAGTTACTTGCAATTTAAAATAAAAATACAACGATTTTTTTCAGTTCCAATATAAAATTATGGAAAATGAAAGGTTGTATATATACTACATCTAAACCCTAATCACTGACGTATAAACCCAAATAGAATATTTATACTTTCCTACTAATTGCACTTACTGGAGAATAAATAGTATATAGAACCTTTGGAATTAATAATATATGTATGTTTGAGATAGTATAATACTTGCAATGTAAGAAAGTTAAAGAATTTTAAAATATTTCATCCTAAATAGAATAGTACATGCTAAAGAGGAATATAATAGTCTCTCAAATTAAAAATTGACAAGACTCAAAACCTACATAGCGGAAGATAAGCAAACATCTAACCCCTAAGCAATAACCTATAAACCCAAATAGAATGTACATTCTATGCTACTGATTTCTTACACTCCAGAAGCCATAGTATATATACCCATTCTATCCATAATAGTATATGTATGATGGAGATAGAATAGTACTTGTAATTTACAAAAAATAAAAATAAAAGAACAAATTTTTTGACTTCCAATTTCAGATTATGGAAAACGAAACAACACTCTATACGTACTACGATAACAAACTGAAATGGTCAACAAAATTACGGTCACGGTTTGGCCGACATTTTTTAGACTATAGAACCGTATGAAAATAGAATAGCTGTCGCAGAGAGGACATAGAATAGTAATTCACTTTAAAAGTAGCATCGAATGAACGACAAAAGAAAATCCCCAACTTTTGGGTTAATTCGTCTCCAAATATCGAATCACACATGCAACAAAAAAAGCACATCACTTTCAGAAATCTCAAATCTTTTCAATTGGTTTACCCGAAACACAAACAAATCAAAAGTATTATAATATGAGCATACGAAGCAGTATAACTATTTAATCTCAGATCAAAAGTTACAGGTTTTCACTTATCTTGTCACTCTGATGAATTTCGAATCAGAAAGAGTTATTTCACATTGTCACTACACCATCGTTGCAACTGTCGATCACCGAATCAGCGAATCCTTCCATTCATGTTGCCGGCAGAGGCTCCCAAAGTGATATGTTTCTACAAAAAACAACTTCACCGGGAATGAAATTGGTACCTTCAATATCGTTCTAAACTGAGAAAGAAACTATAGAGCTTCCTAGTTTTTACCAATTAAAAGCTTATTTGAAAAACTGTTTGTGACAAACGAAGAGCCACGTTAAACCTTTTTCTGTAAATAATAACCAATTCTAATTATTTTCTTTGTGCAGGTTTCACCGGTGATGCATAGGGATATAATGGCATTATTATATAAAAGACACAATACATATTGACAATTTAGGTTTTTTTGTCATTCAATGAATTATAACTTGTTTGAAGGTTATACAACTCAATTTCCCTTAACTTATTGTATATTAGTTAGAGAGAGAAAAGTTATTTAGTATAGAGACAGAGGGTAAAATAAAGTTTTTAACTGATTTCTTAATATGCCTGAAAAACATTGAAGCGACACTTTTTATGAAATAAAGAGAGTATATATTTAAACAGGAATAAAACAATATTAAAAGATAGGTTTATTAATTATGAGGGTTAAGCCCGCTCTACGGGCGAGTAAGCAAAGTAAAAATCATAAAATTATATTTTAAATTAATCATATTTAACAAATTTATTGGTGATTGAAAATAATTAATTTTCAAATTTGCTTTTGTTGTTCTTGTTAGAAAGCAAATGCTTGTAAATTTTTTTAATTAATGTAATTATTACTTTTTTGTTATGTTTTTATTATACATTTATTTTCAGATTTTTCGTTATTTATTTTTTTGTTCTATAAATAATTAATTTTTTCTCTATTAGATATTTTGATTAACACTTTTTTATTTTGAAATATTTAATTATCATTATATATGAATTATATTCCTTAATTACTATTTGTATCAGTTTCTATTAAAATTGTTTAATGCTTTGATATTCGGTCTTACTCTTGTTGCAACAACTTAATTTCATAATAAAATTATTGATATACTTTACTGAGATTAAGATAATTTTTATTTTGGAACTATAGATTTTTTGGTGTGTTTGTCTTATTTTAGATTATATAGTTTGATTTCTAAGATTATTTTTATATTTTTTTATATAGCGTCTTTTTTTGTGTTTTACAAACAGTCTTTTTTAAATTTTCATGTCCATGTTAAATTTATGCTTGAAGATTTTAGGGAATTCATAACATTCGATTTTATTTTATAAAATTTATTTAGATAAACAGTAATCTTTGATCTCTTGTTATCATAAGAATTTTTTTTATCGCTTGTTCATTATTGTTTTATCTGTTATATATTATTTTATGTTTTCCACTAATTGTTATTGAAGTCTTCATTTTAATTATGTATTGTTTTTGGCTATAGATTTTCATTAATTTCTTGTTAACAATTAGGTATTACGTATCAAGTTTTATCCCAATATGTTTGTTAGCTAGTAATTTCCCCAAATTAAAAGCTAGTAATGAACACTCAATACCTAATAATTATAAGTATAACTTAAGATTACGATAATATCATATTTATACTTCAGACTAGGTTAGGAATCTGAAAAGTTCAGTAGGTATAGGCCTAATAAATATTGTTTTCTTAACTAAAGAGGTTCCATTATTGAAACAAAGGGAGAAAGGGGCATCCAACATCCGGAAATTGGGGTTGCTGCGCGTTACATCGAACCCGCTCAACCTGTAGACTAACCTTTCGCTGAGACGCTGCCTGAACATGAATTGACGTTTCGCATTACAGAACCTTGAATATTCGTCGACTTTTAGAAAGGACAAAATTTTTTTTCTTAGACCATCATAATGGAACCAATCGTCAACAGCGTTAATCAAAAATGATATGCTTACATTCTTGTCGATGAGGAGCATGTGTAGACTCATGAGCTCACCGCCTTTCCTCACATTTCTGGCCTCCCAAAACCAAGGCAACTGAACCTCGGTGGTGTTGGAGCAGCGCCCGATTTTCAAATCGGCAAGGAGGATGGAATAAATCACCATTGTAGCAATCAGAAGGTTGAACAAACTTTTCTTCTAATGTTCGTCGAAGCTGTGCTGTTCATGTCTGCAAAAGGGATATTTTCGGGATGTGATAAGCTGGTTTCAATGATCCAGAGTGGGTTAATCACTTATAAAATAAGAGGAAATAAAGTGTGAATCAAGCGTGCGTGGAGAGGTTACGGAGAGTTGATAATTTATTATGATAAATATAACCCTCGTCGGCTGATCTAGGAACAAACCTATAATATTAAAAGATCTTTATAATCTGAAAGTTTAAACGCAATCTAAAACAATAAAACCCCAAAACAAATTTGCATTTTACCAATAATATTTTTTTTTCTATAATAATATAATTTTTTCTAAAATCCAACAAATAATTTCCTAAACTTTAATGAGGTGACACATGGTATTTTTGCCTTCCATGGAGAAAAGAGCTAATTTTATTATATAATATTGTTTCCATGATTTTTTAATTAGAATTTGATTTTGGAAATACATTAATTAAACACGAAAAGAAAAAATCATATAAGATATATTAATTAATAACTTCAACGGTTTGTCATTGTAAATAAGTTGAAAATTAAGGGTATTTTATTTTTGTACTTCTCTTTAATAATATACTAGATTCTAGCCCGCACAACCGTACGGATCTTTATTGTCAGTTTTATATACATAAATATTTATTTTAGATTATTAGCGGTATACATTTTAACGTTAGTCATATATTTAAATTTTTATATAAATAATTCAAATATAATAATTTTAGAGTTATGTATTGTAATCAATCAATTGTTTAAAATCGTCACATGTATTTGTCACTTTTTATTATGTATTTATTTTATTGTATTTGTATTTAGTTATTAAATTAATTAACACTAGATTTTGATCCACACAACCGTAGAAAATAACTATAAGATAGCTATGAGGTCGTCTGTATAGACAGAGACACATAGGCTGATCTTATAGAGAGAGAGAGAAGCTCTTACAAGTGTTCTTGGGTCGTGATGAAGCAGTGGCTGAAGTACTTGACGGAAGAGACGACATAAGTGAGTAGCTTAAGAATCTTTTAGTAGCGTGTGTTAGGGGGTTAACACTAGGCGTGTAAAGCTAATTAAGCAGATCTTGTAATAACGTGTACAAGACGATTTCTAATAAAGCTATTGGTGTTTTGTTTCTTGGTTTACCTTCTGTATTGCTTAATTTTGGTGTCATCATTGCACTTACATCTCTCTCTCTCTCTCTCTCTCTCTCTCTCTCTCTCTCTCTCTCTCTCTCTCTCTCTCTCTCTCTCTCTC